TGCTTTTCCCCCATCCTCAGTAGCCACCTCTGCAGGGATGCTGCTGCCCATCACAGGTGGGCTGGTCTGGAGCAGGTGTGGGGTGGGCCGGGGCTGTGCACATTTGTGAGCTGGTCTGGAGCTGGTCCGCTCTGGCTGGGATGGGGACGGGGACGGGAACGGGGCTGTGCGCTTGGTTCCTGGCTGGTTTGGAGCAGGTCCGCTCCAGCCAGGGTGAGTTCAGAGCAGGCGTGGGGTGGGCTGGGGCCAGGACCGTGCTTAGCAGCTAGCGGACACTTGGTGGTGGCAGTGGCAGGGAGGACCTGCAGGGCCAATGGACTCTGGCTTTGGTGAGCTGTTGGGGGGGGGGTGCTGACCAGCCTGCAACAGCTCCTCAAAACTGCCTATGCGGCCTGTGGGTCCAAATAATTGCCCACCCCGAGCTAAACTGTTCTCAGTGATGGCAGATGACAGAACAAGCAGCAATGGTCTCAAGTTGCAGCAAGGGCAGTTTAGGTTAGATATAAGGAAAAACTTTCGCACCGGAAAGGTAGTACGGCACTGGAACAGGTTACCCAGAGACATGCTGGACTTTCCACCCTTGGAGGTTTTTAAGACCCAGCTTGACAAAGCCTTGGTTGGGATGATATAGTTGGATGGTCCTGCTTTGAACAGAGGGTTGGATCAAGGGTCCCAAACTTTTTAGACTGAGGACTGGCAAACTGCAAACTGGAAGTCGCCGCGGACCAGCAAGCCACAGACCGGCAGCCAACCCTTTTTTATACTGAATCCGCCACATGCCGGTCACTTCCAGTCCACAGTTTGCCGGTCCGCAGTCACTTCCAGTGACACCGTGCAGGGCCCCACGGCAAGAACTTCTAACCGGAACAACCGTAAAGACACTTGCACCCAGCGGGCGGGAGGGAGGGAGCAAACCTCAACCGCAGCAGCCACTGCCGCAGGATAGGATGGGCCAGCCCTCCTGCATACCAGCATCCAACCCTTTGCGGCCCAGCACCGGGTCACGGCCTGGGGCTTGGAAACCCCTGGACTAGATGACCTCCTGAGGTCCCTTCCAACCCTAATTTTCTATGATTCTGTGAAAAGCTCATGTTTCTCCAAGCCAGTTAGTCTTGAAGGTGCCATCCTGCTCTGCCTTCTGCCTGACTTCAGACTACCACTCCCACAGCTGACTTTCTGGAAAGAAAGAAAAGTGGAAGTGACTTTGTGGATTTCCCATTGACTGAGCTGAGAGACAAATGAAGGGAAAACAAATGAGTTAGGGCTGAATTTGGTAATGCCTGTATTTTTATTTTGGCAAAGTACTTAGTCATGTTAGTCTGAAGTCAGGCAGAACACAAGGTAGACTTGTACCATATAGACTAGCTATTCAAATATGCTGTAGCATCTGAAAAAGTGAGCTGTTGCTTATGAAGGTTTATGCATCTCTTTAAGGTGTAATTCTGTTCTTCCTTCTGCATTTTGATTTGTTATTCCTGAAATAATGCCAAAAAAATGTTATTTGAGCAGACCTTCTGCTCTATAATTTGTTTAAAATTCTAGAAACAATTGGAGATTAGGTTTCCAGAGAGCTGGGTTTTGTTTCCAGCTCTGCCATAGATTTGCTGTGAGATCTCAGACAAGTCGTATAACCTCCCTGTGGCTCAGCTAATTTATCTGTACTATAGAATAATTGTGATTACCCAGCGTGTTAATAAGGGTTGTACAGTAAATCATCTCTGTCAACTATGATGGAGAGAGATTGTGTCATGCTTTTTTTTTGTTTTACTGGGTAAAATAAGATTTCTGATTTGAAGAGAGATTACTGACATGTTACCTTATCTATAATACAGAAGTTTGGGATAAACAAATATTGGTTTGGCAATAAACAAAGGGCCCTGAACTGCATTCAGTTTCCATACACTCCAAGTGTTTAGCCACATTGACGAACTGTCATGGTGCACTATGAAAATAGTTTCTGTGCTCATCCTGTACAGTTTCTAAATTCATCTTGTACAGTACCAACTTTGTAATGGTGTTTGGAATAGATAGACTCAACTTTATAAGCGTCTGAGACTATTTTGTCCTTTAGCAGTTGTTCTAAAATCTTTTGGTATTGGAAGTTGTGCAGCTGTTTCTCATAAGCTCATGATGCTAGCTAAGTGTTTTGTACACACTGAAAATAGACTACATCGTGTTTTATTTATAAGCCATCTACTCTGAGATTCTGGAGGACACAGAGTTCTAATACAGTAGCTTTTCCAGATGAATCCAGTCATAAAAAATATGAATATGAAATATACTGAACATGGTTCTGTGTTTTTTGTTCTGTTTTCCTTTTTGCAGGTACTCTTAATGGAGCAACCAATTTTCCAGCGACGATTTTTTGTCTAAATGACTTAAAGGCTGAAGCTTGCGGACGGATTACAGTAATTTTGCTATCCTTTCACCATAGTCTCCAAGATGGTTGATTTTCTAGCTGAAAATAATCTCTGTGGCCAGGCAATTCTTAGGATTGTTTCCTGTGGGAATGCCATCATTGCAGAACTTTTGAGACTATCTGAGTTTATTCCTGGTGTGTTTAGGCTAAAAGACAAGGCTGATCAACAGAAGTATGGTGATATCATATTTGATTTCAGTTATTTTAAGGTAAGCATTTTCCTATTGTTTTAGCTCTAGACTGCCATTTTCTTTCTGGAACAAAATTTCTGTTTGGCAGTATAGAGCATATCTTTGTAAAAATTGGCACACTTAATTGATTTTAGTCATTACCACCAAAATTTAGAATACAATAAAATGTATTTTATACATGTTTTGACCTTGACCACAAATTCATCCATAGACTATGACATGGAAATGCCTATGTGTTAGTTCTTTACTTCTTGAGTAAACTAAATCCATACATTTCTTATCTCACATTTTCCATGCCTTATTTCTGTGAGTCTGAATGTGGCAATCAAGATTTTTGTGCTTGAAGAGCTTGAGTGTTAATGCTGATCCTATCAGAGCACTTGAATGGAGGATTTAGAGGAAAGCAAGATTGATTTACATTAGTAATCCCACCAGATACCATTTCAAAGTGATAGATCTTTCATTACTGAAATAAGTTCTTATTTTGGAACATTCATTCTCATTATTTAGGATAGTTCAATACATAAAATCTCACTTTTATCAGGACCAGCAAAGTCTATCAACTTGGGTGTGACCCTTAATATAGTGTTGTGGGCCTCCTGTAGTATTTCTGGCGGTCTTTAGCTGTATTCTGTATCTTGTACTGCTGTGAACACTGCTGTGTTTCTGTTATGATAAAAAAAATGTTTGTTATACTTTCACTCAGTCGGTTGATATATGGTACATTAACCAGCACAGATATGACTACTTTCCACAGAGGAGCTGTGAGATCCCTTCTTGAGTTAAGCCTCTGGCAGTACCCACTTAACTCTGCTATTCTGGAGAACAATTTGTATGGGACTTCTCATGATGAACTGATTTGCCTTTCTATTTCCAAGAAGCATACAATAAAAGAGGTTCCTTATCATGCAGTTCTCCTTGTAGAAAGAGGAGTGGGCTCTGAGCAATAAATGAGATTCGGAGTTCCTGAATTTTAATCCAGTCTCTGATCTCATTCTCTTCAGTGCCTATGGGAAGCAGAAGAACAAATAGATTCAAAACATATCAGTGATTTAGAAATTCTGCTTCTGCCTGAAACCCCCCTTATACAAGTAATTCCTGAAATTGCTATAACCAAAAGAGATAAAAATAAATTGTTTCAGTTTGGGCACTTGGTGCATTTGGCAGGACTTTATGCAGTTTCATGGCTTCAGTTGTATAGTCTGTCTGTCACTGTCTCCTTCTGTGTGGATCTTTCACAGAGCACAAGAAAGAAATAATAATTGATAATTCATCCATTATGTCCTGTGGCAAACTGTCACAATTACTTTCTTTTTTACTCTTTTAAAATAAATTTCCTGTTCTTCTTAGGGGCCTGAAATCTGTGAAGGCAAGTTGGAGGCCAGAGCTGAGCTACTGGATTTAGATGAAGAGTTCCGTGAAAACAACATAGAAATATTAACAAGATTTTATCTGGCATTTCAGAGCGTCCATAAATACATTGTAGATTTAAACAGGTACATGTAACAGGGTTTATTAACATAATGACACCAGTAACCATATGATCTTAGTCTTGTGTTCTGTGTTTTCTTTTTTGGGATACCCCTCTGCTAAACTATATATGTGTACACTTAACAACATAGTCTAGTCAAGTGTCAGAGATTCCCCAAAGCCAACTAGCAACTGCTTCTGATGTTGATTTTTGTGTAGAAAACCCTGCTGTGGTAGTGGGTAGTAGTAGAAAACACTCAGGTAGACATTTAAAAAGGAGGGGGTTTTATCCAAGTTTTACTCCTGCCGTTAATGTCTTACTGTGTAATCTTGGAGAGTTAATTAACTCTGTTCCTCAGTTTCTTTGCATGTGAGTTGAAGATAATGATTCTTATGCACATTCACAAAAAGTCTTGCAAGAGAATGAAAGATATTCAGATAACCCTTTGTTACCTTTTGCATCTCTGTCTGAAGAAAGCAATATCATAACAGTCTCAAATATTTTTTTCCAAAGAATTTGCCTTATCCCATGGTCTCTGCTGAAAACAGCTCACACCATTCTATAAGGAAGATGCGCTAGCATGTCTATAAAGTCGATAAGAGTTTTGGGTTTTGCTGATCTAATCCAAAAATCCTAAACTAGCTGGAATAGTAAAAACCTCCTAACAATCAATGTGAAGATACTTCACTTCCCACTCTATCCCAGCAAAACAGGATAGAAATACGTTAGAGATTTCCATAGTATCTGGTATCTGTAAGGTAATCTCTATTCATGTTGTCAGAATCTCAAAGTGTCTTCTAGATTCTGGTAATAAAGTACTGTTTAACCTTGTGCATAATATCCCAGTGTTGCTTCATAGTCTATGACTGGATCCTAGGCTTTTTCTTCTTTAGGTTACATCCATCCACACAGAGCTAAGTGGATAACTTGAAAACTCTGTGTTCTCTTTTCACTAGAATGTGAGACCCAGGTTTGCAGGATACTGACTATTTTCAAATCCCACAGAGATGTTAATTGGGCCAGTATGTGTTCCAAGAGGTTTGACATCTAGTGGCCTCAGGCCTCTAATGCCAGCTTTTCCTTGCTCTCAAGTAACTTGTGCTTATTGAACCTGTTCCAGGCAGACTTTTCCATAACATGGGAAATAGGGGTAACAATAAGCTTTAGGAGTGGCAGGGACCAATTTCTGTTGACCTTCAGGGGAAATTGTCTGACTGAATTGTGAAGGTACCTGGCTTAAGAAGCAGAGAGAGGACTCTTCCTAAACCATGACTGACCTTTTGTTAACATTTCTAGATATTTGGATGATCTCAATGAAGGAATTTATATTCAGCAAACACTGGAAACTGTGCTCCTTAATGAAGATGGGAAGCAGCTTCTAGTAAGTAATCAAGAGTTAGTAAACAGTATTATAAATGAAGTCATTTAGTTATCAGCAAATTTGGCATCCGGCTTTTCTAAATTTAGCATTAGGTATAGACAAAAATAAATTTTTAATTTCACAAATGTGATGAAGATCTGTGGCCCTCCTTTGTGAGGAACTTTTATGGGACTGGCCAAGGGAATAAAGAGAACTTCACTTTCACTCAATCGTGGTTCAAATTAGATCCAGGTCATTAGAAATCCAAAAGTCATTGACACTAGGCGACTCCTATTAAATGAGCTGACCATCTTACTGAATAGCTGTCCTCTTCCCACAGGTTGCACAAGACAAATGGCCAGTTTTATGAAGCCAATAGTTTTAACTGGCTTGGAAACATAATTTGTCAATCTAAGAATAAGGCTAATGCAACTCAGCAAGTAAACACAGACAGTAATACCCTATGTAATGTCTAAAGATTAATTTGCTTCAAAAGTAAAGGCATGTTGTTATTAGATGCTATAAATTAACAAATTATGCCATTTCTCAACAGTGTGAAGCGCTCTATTTGTATGGAGTCATGTTGCTGGTTATCGACCAGAAAATTGAAGGGGAGGTCAGAGAAAGGATGTTGGTTTCCTACTATAGATACAGGTATTGTACTTTAGAAGTGCCTTAATGTGGCTTCTACAGCTAGAATACAGCAAACAGCATATTACGCATAATTGTTTTATAGGTGCATAAATTTAATGTAGCATGTAGAAATATTGGCTTCAGTCCTAGAACTGGGTAGGCGCTTTCCCTTGATCATGTAAAGCAGGGGTGGGCAAAATGGTGGATCCAACCAGTAGATCCACTCCATTTCCTAGCAGCCCCTGCTCATGTTGCTCCGGACAGTTTCCATGGAGACCCCAGGAGTGGCGGGCCATGACGGGGTGAGGGGGACGACAACAGGGTTTCCATGGAGACTGGCCTAAGCAGTGCTGGCAGAGCTTGTGGCTAGGTGGGAAGCTGCTCTGGGGCTGGGACCAGGGTCAAGATTTTGTTGCAGTGACAGCATGGTCCAGAGCCAGGGCAGAATCATGTTCTATTGCCTACATGCCCCAGGCAAGTCCATGCAGGCAGCAGATCACGGCTCTGCCCCGGCTCTGAACCATGTTGTTACTGCCGCAAAATCTCGGCCCCAGCCCCAGAGCAGCTCCCCACCATGGAGACTGGCCTGAGCAGCACTGGTAGGGCTCACAGCATGGACACCCTAACACCACGCTGTCTCCTGAGGTCTCTATGGAAACCGGCTGGAGCAATGTGGGCAGAGGCTGCTGGGAAACGGAGTCCGCCATGGGCCCGACCTGGCTCAAAGACTGGACTTCGCCTGCCACTGATGTAGAGCCTATGGAGGTCAGTGATCTCTGCATATATTGGGGTGTGGCTGCTTAGATCCAGTTGCAAATTCAGTGCCACAGATGCCTTCATTTAGTGACTTAAGGACTTGAAATAATTTATCAATAGATTCCTCATGGACCTTCAGTACTGTCACTCTGTCATCAGAGAATTCCAAAGGCACTTTTGGAGCTTTGTGAGGTTGTCTTAGTTTCTAGACCACAAATTTCTCCCCCATGCTGTACCTTATTGAGTTGCAAAGCACTCTTGAATAACACAATCAATAAATGGATTTCTGAGTAAGGCTGGCAGCATTAGATTAAACCAAGCAAAAACCTCCAAGGTTAACAGTCTACACCAGTGGTGTCCTGCTAAAACCCTATGCTCTGAGCCAATCCGAACCATGGTGGGGGGTACTCCTGGGCTGGATCTGTAAGTCTAGGTTTGGGCAGCAGCGCAGGTTTGGAGGCAGTGGCAGAGCAAACAAGGGCCTCCCACCGATGGCCATTTCCATCAGGGCCCAGGGACTTCAAATTGTGTAGCAGGCCACGTCCCACTAGCCCTGCCCTGCAACCTCCAGTAGGCTGTCGGACTACCGGCAGGCTGGATGGGCCAGTTGCACGAGCTGTATCCAGTCCATGAGCTCTTATGTTTGACACCCCTGGTCTAAAGCTTTTTACCCATAATAAATTCACTAAAAGAGACAATGGGGACAGTACTTGAATACATGCACATGTATTGGTACTTCTGGTTGACTTCGGATATAAATGGACAGATTTCCGTGTCACCTCTCCAGAATGTGCAGATGGGGCAAAAAAGAAAATTTGGGGGAGGAGGAAGTGGAGGGAGGGAAGGAGTTAAATTCATTTTCTAAGTATAATGCCTCCTGTTTCCATCTTGTGTGACCTATAAATAAGGTTCATTGTCTCCTTTGATACTCTTAGTTGGAATTCCAAGTACAACCATACATCTATAACTGCCCTCCTGTGATGTGGTAAAAATTATTCTTTTGTCTGCAGGAAAAAATAACTTCTAAAAACCAGTAAGAATTTTCTCTCTTAAGTGAGTCAGTTCATGTAACAACATTTGTTCTTTGCTTTTATAACTTAGTGCTGCTCGATCCTCTGCTGATTCCAATATGGACGATATATGTAAACTGCTCCGAAGCACTGGGTATTCAAGCCAATCTGGGGCCAAAAGACCTCCAAACTACCCTGAAAGCTACTTCAGTAGGGTACCTATAAGTGAAACATTCATCAGCATGGTTATAGGCCGCTTGAGATCAGATGACATTTATAACCAGGTGGGTTACTATGTGGTGCAGTGCCTTGCTGTTAATCAAGAGGCATGAGTCAATAGCAAGGTTGTTCCCAGTACACCCAGTTTGAAATGAGTACCTGGTCATTTAAGCAGGGGAGGTGGGGGCGGTCAAAGGCAGCCAGATGTGTAGTAACCATCTCCATCCCTCTTTCTCTGTCCTGGGAGTGGCCAATGCCAGCTCCCTGTAGCCGCTGAGCTGCATCATGCCCTAGTGCAGGCAGCTGGTGCCGGCAGCTGCAGCCGGGGCTGGGGTGGAGACAGGCAGAGCACCGGGAAGAGTCTGGAGCCACCGCCAGCCTGAGCCTGCAGTAGCCACCAGCTCCAGCCTGCTCTCATTGGGCTGCAGGCGGCTGCCCAACCCTGCTGCAGCCCTGGGAGCGGTGGGCACTGCCTGCTTGCAGCTGCTGGGCTCCGCGGCACCAGGGGATTCAGAGCATGGTGTCCCGGGGGAGGCGGAGCCCCAGGGGGGTTGGGGCATGGCAGAGCCCAGCGGCTGCAAGCATGTGGTGTCCATCACTCCCGGGATAGCTGCAGCAGGAGCTGGGGGAAGTGGGGACAGGCAGAGCCCTGGGGGGGTCATGACATGGTGCAGCCCAGTGGTGGCAGGCAGCTGGTGCCGGCAGCCCCCAGGGCTGCTGCAGCCGGGGCTAGGGTGAGTGCCGCGTCCCACACCGCCCAGGGCTCCGCTTGTCTGTACTCACCCCAGCCCATGCTAAAGCGGCCCCGGGAGCAGCCAACACAGAAACCTATCCCCATTTCTTACATTATAAAGTAGGTTCATTTTATGCTAATTCAATTTATGCAGCGTTCTCCAGGAACACAAGTACTGCATAAATCAGGAAACCTGAGAAGAACATTCATTTCTAGTGGTGTAAATCTTGCATCACCTAAATGATTCCAGGAGACAGCAGTTCAGATGTTTAGTTTGTACCTTCTCCCTCTTCCCTATTCCTGGAGACACTGGAGTAACAGAATAAAGCCTCTGCCTCCTCCTTACACCAGGAACTCTGATGTGAGAAGCAGGCAGGGGGCATTGCTGCTCCCTTGGCTCAGCTGCTAGGCGCTGGGAGCTGAACAGACCCCCATAGCCAAGCCCCTGTCCGCTCCACACACCTTCAGTTCCAGTGTGAGGAGTGGGTGGGTGCTTTGTCCTGTGACCCCAAGGAGAACCTCAAGCCCGGAACCTGACCCTGCTGGCTTCTTGCCACCCCACAGCTTGAGTGGTGGGTGCAGCAAGGGAAATCTGGCAGGACTGGGGACCAGGCTTGGAGAGACTTTCCAAGAGCCTGCTTCCCAGCCCTGCGGGCTTTTAAATCACTGCCCTGCTGCCCAGATGGGTGGTGCAGTGGCAAGTGGAAGCCAGCAGGAGCTGGCAAAGCCTCCCACCATTTCCCAAAACAAGGAACCACTCTGCGGGGGAAAGGCGGGGAAGCAGTGGCTGCTGCTCCCTTGCCTCCTGGACAGGTCCAGGAGGGGAGCAGACCAGCTGCCCAAAGTCCCACTCCTTGTGCCTTCTCCAGGTGGGGTTGACTAGGAAATTATACCTTTGATGTTAGCATTTAGATGCCTGCCATTTTTAAGTAGCACCAGATTTTTTTAGATGTTTATCTTAAATCATTTAAAGAGTAAGCAAAGGCTTAAAACTTTTAAATGGAAGGAAGAATTAAGAGATAACAAAGGTCTGTTACAAAATGTTTCCCATCCATAAGTGCTCTTCCTTAATGTTTGAAGATTGATGAATTACACTGGTTATAAAATCACTTAATTTTAATACGTAGTGGTTTGAAAATGCAAAAGATTACAAATGAAAGCTTTTCACACACAAGGAGATGGACGAAGGCCTGCTGTCTGATGTAATTTCTCTCTCTGATAGCTTTTTTTAATGTGCGATTCCTTGAGGCATTCGTCCCTTCTGTTAAAGTTAGGATTTTTTCTAAAATACATGTCTGGCAAAGAGCGCATGTTTCTGTTTTCAAAAATAAAGCCCTATCAATATCAATTGATATCTTGCACCAGATGGGCACAATTTATCATATGGCTTTTGATAAGATACTTTTTCTTGGTTGGCTGTCTTTTGCTCAAAATAGTACTTAGATTTAACATCCCCTACTTTGAGTACACTTACAATTTGCAGTTCCAGTTTCCATCAAATATTCTTTACAAAGCACAAAGACAATAGCTAAAAAGTATGTACATTTTTCCCAAACACTAGAAAGTAAGGAAACAGGATAAAACATTAAAGCAAATTAGAAATGAAAAGGTTAGTTATCAGATTGTTCAGGTCTGTGTAAATGCACTGGCATGTTTTGTGTCCAAAGGCATTATCTCCTTAGACACTTCAGAATTGTTCATGGGTGACTGAACTCTTCCAAAATTTCTTTAACTGGAACAGTTCATTTAACAACTTAAACAACAAAGACCACATGCAGGCAAGATCTTCTCCAAGCATTATATGCATATTATAAGTATATTTTAAGACTTCCGTTAAATATAGTAAAGAAAAAAGATTTAATTTTTTGTAATGCTGTTTTTGTAACCAGTGTTGGAGTCTGCTTTTTTAACCAGTATATTGCTTAGCTCTTAAAAAGCATCAGTTTGTTTTTTTTTTAAAAGGCACTTAACCCCCCATAACTATCTAAATCATGCAGTTTGTAAAACAGGAGTGAGTGAAGGCTTTTGCCCATGCCCTGATCATGCTGCCCTTTGATTATGACAGTCTTTGCTTCTCTTTCATACTAATAATGCCAACTCCTCTCCATCAGAAATACCTTCCTTCTGCTCTGTTCCTTTCAGTCAGTTTCTAGCACTTTGCTTCAGCCATACACCCTCCTTTGATTCTTGTATAGCAGGGCAATGCTTTCAGATAGTCTATAAAATCTGACTAATGTTTGCATGGTTAGCTTTCATAAGCAGGTGAGGGAGTCACATCTGTAGGGTGCAAAGACTCCGTAACATGAATTGCATGCCATGTAGATAACATATGGTAAATTAACATATGATAGCCATATGGTGTATGAATATAATGTGGTCTTTAAATGTTATATATAATAAGTCATGGTTATCCCTTTCCCAGGTTTCTGCATATCCATTACCTGAGCACCGCAGCACTGCTCTGGCTACTCAAGCTGCCATGTTATATGTGATACTCTATTTCGACCCTTCCATTCTTCACACACATCAAGCAAAAATGAGAGAGATAGTGGATAAATATTTTCCAGATAACTGGGTAAATATGACTGCTGATTTTAAACTGCATGCTGGATTCAAAGCTGCAACACACATTTATTGTAGTGGTACTCAACCTTTCAGCTACATGGGCCAGATGAGTGGCATGAGGTGGGTCCGCAACCCAGATCCTGCAGGGCTGGTGGCCATACACTGCTTCATGTGGCCCAGGATCCTTCTTTGTGCTGCCCAAATTGGTCCACGTACACCCAGATCCTGCCTCCCACTTCCTGGATCAGAGCTTCCACTGCACAGGGCTGTGCTATCCAACCACAAGGCTCCCCACAGGTCCAGAGATTTGGCTGCTGGGGAGAGGCAATTAGTGCTGCTACCACTTCTCCACTGCCAAATGTTTGTGGCTTTTTTTTGGTAGAGTCACAGAAAATGGCAGAGACCTATGGTTGTGTATAGAAAGGAAACCATTTTTCTTGGAAAATATAAGCACTATTTTTTGGTTTTGCTTCCACCTTTAGGTTATTAGTATTTATATGGGGATCACTGTAAATCTAGCAGAAGCATGGGAACCTTACAAGGCTGCAAAAACTGCCCTCAATTACACATTAGATCTGTCAAACGTCAAAGAGCAGGTATGTACATGCCCATTTCAGATTCAAAATAAGATTCAAGGCATGTGGGTGTTTTCAGATGTATTCCATGCGGTAACTGGCACATGAATCCTCTTTCTCCTTTATACACCTTGATTGAGTCAATACTGAGGATACCTTCAAGTTTCAGAGGCTGATCCCTCTTAGGTACTGTTTCACATGTACTTGCAATATTATCCCATCTTCCTCTGATAGATCCAGTGTTGTGACTTCAGTTTATGGCTTCTGATAGTCACCATTATATTATGCAGTGCTCAGGAAGATTTTTCCTACTAAGGATTTAGTCTTTTGTGTATACAGATTTAGAAGCTGAAAACTAAATAGTCTCTCTTAGCTACAAAGAGATGATTTCTGTTGAGTATTTGAAAGATTTGTGGTCCCATCTGGAATTGGCTATCCAATAATCTGGAGAAAGCACTTTTAGTAAAAATATGCCATAGCACAAAAAGTGGCACATTTGATTATTACTTTCCTGTGTCTAGAACTCAGTTACTTTAGTGGCACCATTTTCATGCTAAAGATTAGTCGCATGCTAAGGGTTTTGCTAGATTGGAAACAAAGGGCTAGATTTTTAAAGGTATTTAAGCATCTAAATACCTCTTAAAATGTGGCCCACAAGCAGCCTATGTTTAGGAACACTGTTCCTAGCTCATGCCAATAATCACCATATGTGAATATTTGCAGACATTTTTCCTTTCTCTGTGAATATGAATTGCAATTAATTCTGGGTTATGATTCACTGCTCTATCCTTTCTAGCAGATGGACAGTGAAATGTTTTCATTGGCAGCTCAGTAGTCCTACTGCTTTTTCAGATATGATTTTCAAAAGTGCACAAGTAGCCAGAGAGGGCAGATGACCAGGCTTCTAAGTTATTGTGGTACTTTTGAAAACGTTGCCCCTCACTTAAGCTCTCTGCTCTAGGTTGTAGCTTGCATTTCACCATGCCAATACCCCTGTATGCCATGAACTGCATTCACTCCCTGTCAATATAGGATCTATGTGGATAATTATTTAATGGCACTTATTACTCAATTTCTATCCACTTTGTGTTCATGGGAACCTGCGCATGGGAGATGAATATTCAACTTGTCTCTTATTGATGCAAGAATTGTATGTTTGAAGGCAAGCAGATACGCTGCTGTCACCGAGCGGGTGCATGCACAAGTGCAGCAGTTCCTCAAAGAGGGCTGCCTGAGGGAGGAGCTCGTGCTGGATAATATCCCCAAGCTGATGAACTGCTTACGAGACTGCAACGTTGCAATCCGTTGGCTGATGCTTCACACTGCAGACTTGGGTAAGGCTTGTAGCACAGAATGCTCTGTGCTGTGACATCTGTGCAGCTTTGTCTTTGATCGTGGGTAAGTCCCAAGTGTGCTGCGTCATGGAAGCCAGTGTAACCTTTACATTCAGTTAATTGGAGAATTGATCTTCTGTTGACCCTGAAATTTTATCTTTGAACAAACAGCCCCCCAGGTCCCATTTTAATTTTTCCAACCAAAAATAGAACGAAATAAGTTATATGAAATCATGATGCTGTAGAAATAATACTATGCTGAGCGAGCCAGGAAGAGACTGGCTTATTTTTTCTCCTGCCCTGAATAGTACTGCATCATCTTCAATATTACATATATGCATAACAGCTTTTGTCTTAATAGCCTCCTACTAATCACCCTTAAAAAATAATTCTTTCCAGTGGCAGTTGTATACTGTATGAAATAAGTCTTGGTGATCTCAGTTCAGGTCCAAGTGGGCTTCAATTGTAAGATCTTTAGGACAAAGTCAATATTTTAGTTATGCTTGTTAAGTGCCTAACATAGGGCTTAGTGCCACCCTAGGTATTATGCTAGTAGTGATTGTAATTCACCATACAAATACATTATCCAAATCAGAGTCCTCATTGCCTACAAGGTGCCATTTGCAACTTAGTAGAACAAATAAAACTGAATGCAACTTGAGTCTCCATTACATTCTTGACCAAAGAGCTGATCCCTGCAAGTTAGGGTTGAGGTCTACTCGCACAGCACTATGGGGCAGCCACTGCCACTGCCATTCTTGTTGTGTGGCAAGGTAGAGGATATCTATCTCTGAGGGCCCTGCTGTACGTTCAAATTAAACCTGAATAGAAACCAGCTATAGAGTTATTACACACTTTCAAGCACTAACCTTATAGCTGGTTGGCTGTTTTTGTAGCTAGATAGTCATTTTTATTGTATGATAATTACTTTCCATGTGTGGCTGATCTTAATTTATTGCATGATGAACCAGTTAATTGCATAATGCATGTAATGTGTAGCAGGGGCCTGAGGATGTTAGTGAGCAGCATTACATTCACTTCAGGTGAAATCTATTCGTGTACAGAGCACCAACATAATGTCTAGGCAGCAATTAAGTCCCCCTTTCATTTTCCTGTTTTGAGGGTTTTATATGTACCATGTACGCAGTAGTCAATTTCACCGTAAATATTTAAAAGAACAGGTCCATGGGAACAATTCTAGAACTAGCACAATAGAGCAGGATGCTGGACCTTTTAACATGCTGATGTTTGTAAATGTTTCTTAACGGCTTGATCAGATTTCATTATACTGAGAACCTTTGTCCTTCCATTTCTAGCTTGTGACCCAAATAACAAGCGTCTCCGTCAAATAAAGGATCAAATTCAAACAGATTCCAAGTACAGGCCCAAGATTCTTTTCCAGCTTCTCCTGGATACAGCACAGTTTGAATCCATTTTGAAAGAGGTAACATATTAGTGACATCCACTTTTTGGCAAATGACTTCCCTTGAACTGTAATGCAGAGCTGAAGAATTAATTTTGAACACATAAAATAATGCCATGACAACTGTCTCATCTGGTAATACAGGTGAATGTAATGCCTGCTTGTTGGCTTGTTTTCACTTGGACAAATCCAAAATTTTGCCACTTAAAAGTATCCAGTACAGTAGGGCGGGGCAAAATTTCGCCAGCCGTTTTGTTTTGACTTGTTTTGAGGTCGAAACAGCAACATCGAAATGAAACAAAGGGCTGCAAAACAGCCTCGAAACAAAGAAAGGCTAGTCGAAACATTTTGACCATAGCGCTGGGGAAGCAAAGTCAGCCCAGCTAGGCTGACTCCCCAACCCCAGCACGATCTAGCGCTGGGGGGGAAAACATCTAAACAGCATCAAAACAGCCTTTTTGTTTTGACAGAATGGAACAGCTGTTTCGAATTGAAATGAAATTTGAAGCGGAACACTGTTCTGTCAAACCGGTACAACTCAAGGTGAAACGGAACGGTGCCGTTTCGCACAGCCCTACTGTACAGGCCTTTCTTAGTAGTTACAAAATTTCATTTGGAGGCAACACACTTTAAATTTACTGGGTATCTTGCTTGACCAATCTGGTAACTGGCAAACTAGGAACTCTGTTCGGGAGAAGAAGCTGCATATTTCTTATCCTGGTGGATTATTATTCTTGTAAACTGTTTTTTAAACCCAAAATTACAGTTGTCTCATTAGGCAAGGAGATAATGGGAAACCACTTCCACTTGTGTAAAACACTACCATTTTAACTAACTCAGGAAAGGATTTAAGCACCTGCTTAACTTTAAGTACCTGCTTTATTCAATAACCATTTATTTGCACAGGTGGAAATAATTACACAAGGTGCAAAGCTATAGAGAATCAGACTGTCTGGAAACTAAGTTAGTGGACCCTTCTATAACTAGCTAGAAAATCAATAACACATATGGTATAAGCCCATTGTAAAACACAGTAAGTTAAGCATTATACCATGACGTATGGAACCCTACTAATTGTATTATTTTCCAGCAAGTACTTTTTGCTTGTTAAAAAATATAATGGAGAGACCTTATTTGGATTCAAAGCATATATCCTTAACAGACGTTGTATTCATTGTGAGTCACCCCCAACTGATTGAGTATTTTTAAATCCCAAATGTTATTGCAACATGCTTTAATGCCAAGTTTGTAATCTGAATATTTTCTTTTCAATAGATGTTCAAGCAGATGCTTTCAGAAAAGCAAGCTAAATGGGAGAACTATAAGAAGGAAGGTTCTGAAAGGATGACTGAGCTTGCTGATGTCTTTTCAGGAGTTAAACCTCTTACTAGAGTGGAGAAGAATGGTAATTTGTAGAAAATGTCTGTCTGAAATAAGAGTTGTTGTTTTTTAATACTGAGAGGAAATGGATATGTGGTATTCTGATCACAGGAAAAATAATGATGGGATTTAACTTTCTTCAAGCATTTCAAAGGGCGCTCATACTTGCATGGATTTGAATTCGCTACCCACATTGTTATTGCATGCGTAGACTCTTCTGTCAAATTTTAGGCAATCAGGCTTGATCACATGGCTTTTAACATCAGATTCAGGTGTGAAGAGTAAGGCTGGGAATCATTTGACACTTCATGTATAATGGAAGCCAAAATATTGTAATTTATGCACTGAAGAGTCAGATGATGATGTATATTCCATTAGAGGATGGTCTTGGTCTTCTCAGCTTGCAACCTGAATTGTTTTTAGCATCAACTCACTTTCCAGTTCTTTCCAGCCTCCTCCTATGTTTTCTTCATGCTCTTACAAAGAAAGATACTGTTGACGTTTTGTAGAGATGACTTTAAAGAACCCAACTGGCTTTTGCAAATGTCTTCCTTTTTCTCTAGTGTTTTCATGTTTTTGAGTTGGTTTACAGCTCTCAGTTCACAACTCAGTATCGCATGTGGTCAATAACCCTTCATGAAGTATAGAAACACACCATTAAAACTAGGCTGAAATAAAGTTTTATTTGACTAAACCCTTCTTTTGCTCACTTCTTAACTAAAATGGGATTAATGCATTTAAACTGCTGCCTTCATCACTGTAATTCCAACCAACTAGTAAGTCCAGATATTAAAATTGCCTGGACCATTAAAAGAGCTGAGTATAAAGCAAATCCTAAACTAGAAACATCACTTATGGTTTGTAGGCTTTTGCCTTGTTTTCGGAGGTTTTTTCAATGTGGCATTTAGTGGGTTTTACAGCAAACATTGATCTGGTTAGCAAAGCCTAGAGATTCTTAAATTATAGAGTATGTTTCTTCTTTTGACAACATTCCTTTAAAGTCCACATGTTTTTAAAATTTAAACTTTAAGAGTAAAATAACAAATCTTAGTTAATTTTTAGCAAGGATTCCTTTTCATTATTGTCAGAGGCAAGTCACACAACAAATCATCATGAGCTTGAGAAGCACCTCATTTTATTTTTTCCTTTTCCTTTAAATAGAAAACCTGCAGGCTTGGTTTAGAGAAATCTCCAAACAAATAATGTCTCTAAATTATGATGATTCCACTGCAGCAGGCAGAAAAACTGTGCAACTAATACAGGCACTGGAAGAGGTAAGGAAAAAAAGTTGCAGTCATATGTTATAATAATCTTACATTGTCCTTTTAACTACATCAGAAAATGCTTTACAAACTTAAACATAATTATACAAATACAGGTCCTGATCTTGTAATCATGTCTTGATCTTGTAATCCATTCCACACGCTCTGCCCATGCAGATCTAATTGCAATTTAAGGGCTGTAATAGGAAATGCGTTATCCACTCCTTAATTTCAGTAGCTTCTGTGAAAAAATGGACCCATATTAAACAGCACTTGACCATATTACTTATCGTTTTAAGGAAGGATGAGAAAAGAGGAACACAAATGCAACTGAAATTGCAGGAGGATATATGAGGCAAATATCAATATCAGAACTTGCCCAGCGATCTGAACCAGACACTTTGCTGACAGATATGAAAAAATCAAAAACAGTACTTTACTGGGAGAGAAGGCACATTCATTTGATCTGGCTCCCCAGTGTCTATAGATCAGGCGTTTTAGCAGAGATTTTTGGCACTTTTATCTCAATCAGCTGTTACATAAAAGCACCAAAAAGCCCTGCTGAAGCGTCTGATCTATACAGACCCTGGATAAACCAGGACAAACTAACGCGGTGCCTCTTCTGGGCACGCGCCGCACTCGAGGTGGGGGCATGCTGAGCTGAAAGTTGAGCACCGGGTTTTTGGTTGGTTGGTTGTGTGGTTTTTTTGTTTTTTTTTTCCCCCCACATCTGTAAGCAGCCTTTGTTTCCCAGGATGCAAAAGATGCTTTGTCATAGTGCTTCGGTGTATGCTTCATGGTGTGAAAGTGCTTACTGGGTACAATTCCATGGAAAATAGTTATCAAAACTTGTCATATTTTATTAAGGAAAAATGTATATTTAGTACAGTAAAATCCCTGCTATCCTGACTAACTGGAATTTCCGGCTGGCCACAAGTGTGGGGGAGAGTTCGCACACAGCCACCACTGCTACCACCCACCACTCTGTGCTGCTGCCACTCCGTGTGCAGCCACTGCCACCCCTTCCCCGTCTCCCGCCACTCGCATCCATTTGGAAACCCATGCTTCTCAGGTAACCAGCATTTTTAGATACCCGGCAACCCCCCGCCCCCCAATTCCCCGCTCATTCTGGATAACAGGGATTTTACTATAGTTTTTTTCTTATCACCTGAATAAGCAAATAAGATGGTTTGATTTTGGTTTTGTTTTCTTACTCCAGGTTCAAGAATTTCACCAGCTGGAATCTAACCTACAAGTGTGTCAGTTTCTTGCTGACACCCGGAAGTTTCTCCATCAGATGATCCGAACCATCAACATTAAAGAAGAGGTCTTGATCACCATGCAGATAGTTGGGGATCTTTCTTATGCTTGGCAGTTGATTGATAGGTATGTAATCGGGTTTCTTCCCTTCATAATTTGAAGTTTATTGTTTTGCTCTCCTTATTTATCATTCCTGAAAGGACAAACACTCATTCAAAAGCAGTTGTGTGCATGTCAGTTCCTAGCTTTCTCCCAAAGTCCTAAGCATCACTGACTCGCAGTATGTAGTAAGCTGTAGTTTTTAAGGGCCCCATCGTATGAGAGACAAATATGCTCAACTACCCTCAACTTCACTGAGAATTATGGACCCATCTTTGGCCTGTTTATAAAGGACAGTCACCTTGTACTATTTTGCTTTCTAACCTTTCCTATTTATAACAGTTGTGGACATTTAAGTGGACCAAGGTTTAGTTTCTGACTTTTTCACAGATAGCACTGATTTTTCTTTCTTTATTTTTTCTTTCCTCTTTTTTATTTTTTTTCTTTTGTTCCTGGATTATTTTATTTGGACCCAAGCAAGCTTCCAAACAGCTGTCACATTAGGTTGTAACTGAGCTTGGCTGGCACCTCATTGGATGTTATTGACTTTCTGGAACTCTCATTGCCCCATTTATCTTAAAATGACTGAAGTGTCACGTGAAAGGCATTTCTTCAGGCCAGGTGCATCCCTGGTGTAACTCTACGAACTTAATGTGCAAAGTCTGAGTCAGACTTCCCTGCTCCTGAGAACTGTTGTCAGTGATGGAGTTGATTGTGTTTTTATTTTTTTCCTCCCCCACCCAGCTTCACGTCCATTATGCAGGAAAGCATAAGGGCCAGTCCATCTATGGTAACTAAACTCAGAGCTACTTTCCTAAAGGTAAGGATGAAAGACATAAACATCAATCTTAAGTCAGTATTGAAAGTATAGCAAAATATTAGTCCAAATATTTTGAATCCAGAATGAGTAGAATAGTAAAATGACTCGCATCGGATATTTCAAAATAAATCCAGTTGGATGTAGTACTGTGTCCACCCCAGACATGTAAAATGTATGGGCTGGGCTACTGGTGGGACAGACCATGTTGGGGCAAAGCTAGCAGGAGGCGGGATCTGCCACAGAATTTGGGACCCTGCTGGACATAGCTGTTGGTAGTGGAGGGTGAGCAATGGTGGGACTGACACGGCCCCATTCACTCTGCAGCTGCTTGGTGTGTAGCTGCTTCCCCACCACCAATGCTAGTCCTACTGCCTCAGCCGCTGCTTGCCCAATGGCCTGGATTTAGCCTGCAAGAGCCCTGATATAGCTTGAGGTAAGGTGAGCTTGATGCCTCTGCTGTAGCCAGATACTTCATTCACATTAGAGTAGCCAGACATTTATTTGCTAGATGCACATTGCAGTTACCTACTGGAAGCACTGATATCTTCAGAGAATACAGTTGTGTTGCTGTGTGCACAGGTTTGAAAAGAAATGAAGGCAGCATGACAGAATGATGCAGTTTGTGCCATGATGAAGATCTGTCATCACTTAAGGAGAAGGCAGGGTAGATTTGCATTAGGGCTGTGCGAAGCTTTAGGTGCTGATTCAATTTGGAAGAGATTCGGCCTGATTCGGTGGCTGAATCTCCAAATCTAAATTGAAATGGAACCAATTAAAAGGTCCGAATCGATTTGGAGAGTTTTGATGATTTGGACGGTCCCTGCCCACTGCAGAAAGGAACTGGAGCTGGACTCAGAGCTGGTAAGTAGGGGCAGGGGAGAGGGGGCTGGAGATGGGGGGAGGCGACCATGAGGGGGGACCCCCGCCTGCTCCTCCAACCCCACCATGCCTGCCCTGCCTGCCCCAGCTCCCAGCACTTTGGGGAAAACAAAGTCCCGACTCACCGGGTGCTGCCAGGTGGGGGGCGATCCCCACTGGCCACCAGCTGCATGGGGGCTCTGCACAAGCCCCCTGCTGTCCCAGCCTCCCCACAGCTGCCCTGCCTGCCCCAGCTCTAGCCCTTTAAGGAAAAAAAAATGAGAAAACCCGTGGGACTCACTAGCTCCCGCAGCAGCCTCGGGGCTTCAGGGGACTCGTGCAGAGGCCCCCTGTCCCCCACCCTGCCTGGTAGCACCTGCTGAGTTGGGGCTTTTTTTTTCCAAAGAGTGGGAGCTGGGGCAGGCGGGTCAGCCATTGCTGGGCTGGAGAGCGGGTTGGGGGATGGGCCTGGGTGATTTGGAGATTCAGCCAAATCGATTCGGGACAATGATTCAAATCACCTAATCAAATCACTGCCCCCTGAATCAGCCGAATCCAAAATAAATACTAGCCGCTTCACACAGGCCTAATTTGCAACTTACAGACTATCTAAAACAGATGTACAGCATGAGCTTTCATGAGCCTGAGCTCACTTCGCCAGGTGCTGTGAAAGGACACGCACAAAGTAGTGTCAAATAGAGTAGTTTGAATACAAAAGACAGGAGAGGGAGGAGGGGGCAGTGCTGGGAGAGGTAAACAATTTATAAACCCATAGGGTCAAAGGGGTCAAAAAAACTAATCCAGGTAATGGAATAATAATCTGTAGTCCCTCTTTAGAGCACACTTAACACAATTCAGTATGTGGACAATTTCTTGTTCCACAATTTCTCTTTCAACTTGTTTTTTAAGGTTTAGTTGTCTTAAGAACAGCGACCCTGAGGTCAGTGCTGGAATGGCCAGGGAGGTTAGTGTTCTGCCACAGGCTTGTGTGTCTTTCTGGAACTGATGTCAGAGCAGTGTTCATTCATTCTTACATGTAGGGCTTGCCCTGGCTGTTCAAGGTAGACAGCACTGTAAATAGATGATGGCATATTTGACATTGGTAGAGGTGCAGGTGAATGAACCTCAGGTGTTTATAACCTGTGTTATTTGGTCTAGTGAAGATGTAGTCTGTGGTGATGAAGGGGCACAGCTTGCATTTGGATCCGTTGCAAGGCCTAGTGCCTTAAGTGACTTCTTGCTTGAGAAACACTGTTTGAGATTAGGGGACTGTTTGTAAACTAGGACAGGTCTGTCCCCCATGATGACCTTGAGACAGTCCTTTTCCAGGAGCAGTTGGAGGTCATTAGTGATTTGTTCAAGCTGGGAGCTGTAACAGATGACCAAAGGGATTCTCTTGTCCTTTTCTCGGGGTTGGTACTGCAGCATGCCAAAGTAAGGTTCAGTCTGGCCTTGTTGATTTTTGAATGGCTACAGTTTTGGGATTGTATCATAATAATAGGATCTCTGCTCTAGATCCTTAAAGCATGTGTTCTGGTCAGTGTGATCAAAGCAGATTTGGCTACAACATAGAGCTTGGCTGTAAATTTTGGATCTAGTAGTGTGCTTTTGATGGAAATTGGCATAAAGGTAGCTGTGGTGGTTTGTGGGCTCCAATACAGTGTGGTTGTTGCATATTCACCCCAAAACTGAGTTGCCTTTGGGGTTCACTGTATGGTATGCATTGATAGTCTCACAAATTAGATTTGCTCCTGTCATGTTTAGTTTCTTATTTGTAGCTAGTGTCAAGCTGGGTTTGATTTTGTCATTTTTGTTTCTGCATGTATTGTATTTTTTATATAAATGTACTTTTATAATTTCATGATGTAACTGAAGGATGATCAAATGAGGTATTTTGCACCAAGGTATCCAAGGCCTTGTCTGCCTTTAATGGGGAAATCAGCTCCTCTCTAGCAAACGTATCTGAGAGTACAGGAGCAAACCATCCTGATGTGCAGGAAGAGTAGCAAGTATAGCAGCAGAAAAGCTTGGCTTGGCAGGGAAGTTTTCAGTAAACAAAATCACAAAAAGGAAGCTTATAAGAAATAAGCTAGGGAAGCATACAAATAACTAGAGAAGAATATGAGAGCATTGCTCGGGCATGCAGGGATGAAGTCAGGAGAGCCAAAGCGCAATTGGAGTTGCAGCTAGCAAGGAATATGAAGGGTAACAAGAAGGGTTTCTATAAGTATGTTGGTAGCAAGAGGAGGATCAAGGAAAGTATGGGTCCCTTACTGAATGGGGGAGGCAACCTTGTGACAGAGGATGCAGAAAAGGCTGCAGTGCTCAGTGCCTTTTTCTCTACAGTCTTCACAGGCAAGGTCTGCTCCCAGACCACCACTGGGCAGCACAGTTTGGGGAGGACATGAGCAGACAACAGTAGTGGAAGAACAGGGTAGGGACTATTTAGAAAAGCTGGATGTATACAGGTCCATAGGGCCAGATGGGAGAGTGCTGAGGGAGTTGGTTGATGGAATGGCCAAGGGTGCTGAGGGAGTTGGTTGATGTGATTGCAGAGCCGCTGGACATCATCTTTGAAAACTCATGGCAATCAGGAGAGGTCCCGGATGATTAGAGAAGGGCAAACATAGTGCCCATATTTAAGAAAGGGAAAAAGGAGGATCCAGGGAAGACCAATCAGCCAGTCAGCCTCACCTCAGTTCCTTGGAAAAAATCATGGAGCAGATCCTCAAGAAATCCATTTCCAAGCACTTGGAGGAGAAGGTGATTAGGATCAGTCAGCATGGATTCACCAAGGGCAAGTCATGCCTGACCAACCTGATTGCCTTCTATGGTGAGATGACTGGCTCTGTGGTCAAACCATGGCTGGGTTTGTTGTAGTGGTAGCAATGCAGCTATCGCAGACCTCCACTAATGTCTAGAGTATTGCAGCATTAGTTTGTTAGAGAAGTGGAAGTTATTAAAGGCCTGATGACATTTCTCAAAAGATTTCTCCTCCTATGTCCATATGATGATGTCATGTACTTGAGGTATATCAGGGGGATGAGCAGACCGAGTCGAGTCAAGTCAAATCGGTCCCAAGGCCGCTGTGACCGTTGGGGCACCTTAGATGCTCTAGCAACCCTCTTCCACTCTACCCTGCATTCAGCTAGTTTTGTGCACGAGTGGACAGCTGCAGAGAAAATAGACTTCAATGTCTAAGTGAGCTCAGGCTTACAAAAGTTCATTTTATACCTCTCTGCTTTAGTTAGTCTGTAAAGTGCAAATCTACCCTTCCTTCTGCCTGACTTCAGACTAACATGACTATCACTTCAGAAGGACAGTTTTACTGTTACTGTAAGAATGAGAAAGACCTTAGGAGAACTGGGGGGGTGTGGGATATTGGAAGGATCACAAGACAAGGAAGTGTATTTCTTTTGCAATGAGTGAACTGCGGAACACTTGCGTGAGAATAAAAGGAATGTATATAATATTTTCTGCTATGTTAAATTTTTTCTTTTACATTAAATTTGCCAAAAGGAGAAACTATACTGTCCCTTGCTTTCAGCAGCAGCACATGATCCTGACTTGGGTTTTGGAGGATCATGAGGAGGAATTAAAGGTTTTTAAAATGAGTAGTGTATAGTGGGGAAAACAAAAGGAAGAAATTAAAATATAAACCTTATTTCTAGCTTGCTTCTGCACTTGACTTGCCACTGCTTCGTATTAATCAAGCAAACAGCCCTGATCTCCTCAGCGTGTCTCAATATTACTCTGGCGAGTTGGTATCCTATGTAAGAAAGGTAGGTATTTGCTGGGATTAAATTGTTTAATTCTTGAATTGCTTTTCATAAAACTTAAGGTTTTGTTTTAACTCAGAATTGCTTACTTCTATGAAGGTCCTGCAGATCATTCCAGAAAGCATGTTTACCTCCCTTCTCAAGATTATAAAGCTTCAGACGCATGATATAATTGAAGTGCCTACTCGCCTCGACAAAGAAAGGCTACGAGATTATGCTCAGCTCGGACCACGATATGAGGTGCAGTTAAACTTGGGAGCTCTGAAAAGCAGAATTTATAAGGGCCAAATTCCAATGTGGTGTAAGTAAGCACAGTTTAGTGAAAAACACCTGTATCACTAGTGGTGAACATGTCCACTAAGTAAGACTTAAAGCCGACCTAGTTTTGTAATGAGCAGTTTCAAGCTTTACTGCCAACTTCTCCAAAAACTCAAGAAGGGAATAGACAACATTTTAATGAGCCAGTGATCTTGGATCACCTTTGTAGTGAAAAGGCAAATCCCAGACATTAAGACCACTATAGGAGTTGGTGCCCTTATTCAAAATTGTACCTGAGACATCAAGGGCTGAATAAGCCAGCATGACCATGCCACCCTCTGTTCCTCAGAAGTGGAGGCAAGATCAATGCATGGTGATTTTGTGACAGAAAGGAAAACATATTCTGGATGTTGGGTTATGTGTTCTGGGGCTATAGGACTTCCTTTACCACTGCTGTCAGTCTGGAAACTTTCACAATAAATTAAAATTCATTTTCTCCTTGAAATAAAGGGGGGAAGAGGGAGTGCACAAGCAAACTTCTTTCTTAGCACTTTCAGGGATACTCAGAACTATATTGTTCCAATAGTGTCTACCAACACTCCTGAGTGGGACTTCCATGTGCAAACAGCCAGCATACAGACTAAAATCTAGGTACCTCATTAAGTCACTGCAGTTATTTGAGATTCTCTCAAAGACTGGCTGATGTCTGAAACCTGCGTTATTCTTTCTTAAATTATTTTAAATACTGCATGCCAGATTCAGATCTGTACCTGGAACAGACATTTTTTCTGAAACCCTCCTAATGCCTTTGAAGCAGACCGAATAGTGAGTATACAGACATTTCCAGCCAAAGAAGCACTTAAGAAATGGCCAAAATGCTTAAAAAATGATCCTCAGAAAAGGAAGGATGTTGTTGAAGTGATTCCTGAAGTGTCTGCATGCTCCAAAGTGCGACATGTCTGCAGCCTGCTTTTTTTCTACTTAGAGGCTTGTAGAGGAAGTGTGGGACAGAAAAGGTGGAAGTCAGGAACAGGCAATTGTGGGATTGCTGCTGTCAGAACTTGGTTAAATTACAAATACAGAAAAGAGCTCAGGAGCAGCAAATCAGAGGCATACCTGGAAGTTCAGCAGAGTTTGCAGGCTCAGACTGCCAGTGGGGGTGAGCCATAGAGATTTACAGCATAGGTGGTCAGCAGGTATGAGCTTCGGGGGGACCCTATCATTGTAGACATACCCTCACATAAATGGCATTCTACACATAAATAGTAAAAAGAGCCAGACATCTACTTGCCATTTATGCCTTTAGGAAATTGGTACCCTGTTTTTCCTTAAGCCTCGAAGGCTACGAACAGATGTTACTTTTGTCTTGGGGGAGAGACTTTTGTTCCAGGATCTTACGGGGACACACATCCATTGTCCTGCTTCAAGTTCCTCTGACATATACTGGATAAAATGTGCTGCCACTTTTTCCCCAGGCATCCTGTTGTAGCTCTGTGTGGTTATTGTGGTTCATCTGAGGGATAAGCCTATCAGACTGAGTTATCCCACTGGCCAGCTACTGGCGAAGGAGCAGCAATGCAGCTTGGAAGCGTAGTGTGTGTAAAGGACAGTGCTGCTGCTATTTCGATCTGGGTCAAACCCTGGGACAATCAGTCCTAGGTCAAACGAGACATCTGCTGATAGCTTAAGAAACACCTTTGGTTTGTTCTCTTGCTGTTTAAAATGCCAACCTGAATTTGTGGTAGAAAAACTCACACTGTTTGGGTGTATGGATAGGGTAATGTATAATGTTAAAACCACAAGTTTAAAGCATGAAAGGAAGTTTGTAATAAAAAAATAAGTTTGATGTGATGATTTTTGCAGTGCCTTTTACTTAAATCACTGTTTGACTCTAATGAATGGTATCCTCTTCCTTTCTCTGAAGGTTGCCAAGCTAACCCATGCTATTTCAATTTTCACGGAAGGTATTCTTATGATGAAGACTACTTTAGTTGGCATCATCAAGGTAATGTTATATGTTAAAGTGAATTAAATAAATGCAAGGCTGGTAGCATTTAAGCATAAAAAATCTATGCTTGTGCGTAATTCTGAGGGGAAAACAGAAGTAACAGCAAATAATTTAACTGAAATTTTCAAACTTTGGTACCTAGCTTTGGGAGCTGCACTCCGCTAAATCCCCTAAATCAGGGTTATTAAAGACATAATTATTGTGCAAATGCTTTTCATATTTAATGTTACCAGCAAATCCTAAACTAGAAACATCACTTATGGTTTGTAGGCTTTTGCCTTGTTTTCGGAGGTTTTTTCAATGTGGCATTTAGTGGGTTTTACAGCAAACATTGATCTGGTTAGCAAAGCCTAGAGATTCTTAAATTATAGAGTATGTTTCTTCTTTTGACAACATTCCTTTAAAGTCCACATGTTTTTAAAATTTAAACTTTAAGAGTAAAATAACAAATCTTAGTTAATTTTTAGCAAGGATTCCTTTTCATTATTGTCAGAGGCAAGTCACACAACAAATCATCATGAGCTTGAGAAGCACCTCATTTTATTTTTTCCTTTTCCTTTAAATAGAAAACCTGCAGGCTTGGTTTAGAGAAATCTCCAAACAAATAATGTCTCTAAATTATGATGATTCCACTGCAGCAGGCAGAAAAACTGTGCAACTAATACAGGCACTGGAAGAGGTAAGGAAAAAAAGTTGCAGTCATATGTTATAATAATCTTACATTGTCCTTTTAACTACATCAGAAAATGCTTTACAAACTTAAACATAATTATACAAATACAGGTCCTGATCTTGTAATCATGTCTTGATCTTGTAATCCATTCCACACGCTCTGCCCATGCAGATCTAATTGCAATTTAAGGGCTGTAATAGGAAATGCGTTATCCACTCCTTAATTTCAGTAGCTTCTGTGAAAAAATGGACCCATATTAAACAGCACTTGACCATATTACTTATCGTTTTAAGGAAGGATGAGAAAAGAGGAACACAAATGCAACTGAAATTGCAGGAGGATATATGAGGCAAATATCAATATCAGAACTTGCCCAGCGATCTGAACCAGACACTTTGCTGACAGATATGAAAAAATCAAAAACAGTACTTTACTGGGAGAGAAGGCACATTCATTTGATCTGGCTCCCCAGTGTCTATAGATCAGGCGTTTTAGCAGAGATTTTTGGCACTTTTATCTCAATCAGCTGTTACATAAAAGCACCAAAAAGCCCTGCTGAAGCGTCTGATCTATACAGACCCTGGATAAACCAGGACAAACTAACGCGGTGCCTCTTCTGGGCACGCGCCGCACTCGAGGTGGGGGCATGCTGAGCTGAAAGTTGAGCACCGGGTTTTTGGTTGGTTGGTTGTGTGGTTTTTTTGTTTTTTTTTTCCCCCCACATCTGTAAGCAGCCTTTGTTTCCCAGGATGCAAAAGATGCTTTGTCATAGTGCTTCGGTGTATGCTTCATGGTGTGAAAGTGCTTACTGGGTACAATTCCATGGAAAATAGTTATCAAAACTTGTCATATTTTATTAAGGAAAAATGTATATTTAGTACAGTAAAATCCCTGCTATCCTGACTAACTGGAATTTCCGGCTGGCCACAAGTGTGGGGGAGAGTTCGCACACAGCCACCACTGCTACCACCCACCACTCTGTGCTGCTGCCACTCCGTGTGCAGCCACTGCCACCCCTTCCCCGTCTCCCGCCACTCGCATCCATTTGGAAACCCATGCTTCTCAGGTAACCAGCATTTTTAGATACCCGGCAACCCCCCGCCCCCCAATTCCCCGCTCATTCTGGATAACAGGGATTTTACTATAGTTTTTTTCTTATCACCTGAATAAGCAAATAAGATGGTTTGATTTTGGTTTTGTTTTCTTACTCCAGGTTCAAGAATTTCACCAGCTGGAATCTAACCTACAAGTGTGTCAGTTTCTTGCTGACACCCGGAAGTTTCTCCATCAGATGATCCGAACCATCAACATTAAAGAAGAGGTCTTGATCACCATGCAGATAGTTGGGGATCTTTCTTATGCTTGGCAGTTGATTGATAGGTATGTAATCGGGTTTCTTCCCTTCATAATTTGAAGTTTATTGTTTTGCTCTCCTTATTTATCATTCCTGAAAGGACAAACACTCATTCAAAAGCAGTTGTGTGCATGTCAGTTCCTAGCTTTCTCCCAAAGTCCTAAGCATCACTGACTCGCAGTATGTAGTAAGCTGTAGTTTTTAAGGGCCCCATCGTATGAGAGACAAATATGCTCAACTACCCTCAACTTCACTGAGAATTATGGACCCATCTTTGGCCTGTTTATAAAGGACAGTCACCTTGTACTATTTTGCTTTCTAACCTTTCCTATTTATAACAGTTGTGGACATTTAAGTGGACCAAGGTTTAGTTTCTGACTTTTTCACAGATAGCACTGATTTTTCTTTCTTTATTTTTTCTTTCCTCTTTTTTATTTTTTTTCTTTTGTTCCTGGATTATTTTATTTGGACCCAAGCAAGCTTCCAAACAGCTGTCACATTAGGTTGTAACTGAGCTTGGCTGGCACCTCATTGGATGTTATTGACTTTCTGGAACTCTCATTGCCCCATTTATCTTAAAATGACTGAAGTGTCACGTGAAAGGCATTTCTTCAGGCCAGGTGCATCCCTGGTGTAACTCTACGAACTTAATGTGCAAAGTCTGAGTCAGACTTCCCTGCTCCTGAGAACTGTTGTCAGTGATGGAGTTGATTGTGTTTTTATTTTTTTCCTCCCCCACCCAGCTTCACGTCCATTATGCAGGAAAGCATAAGGGCCAGTCCATCTATGGTAACTAAACTCAGAGCTACTTTCCTAAAGGTAAGGATGAAAGACATAAACATCAATCTTAAGTCAGTATTGAAAGTATAGCAAAATATTAGTCCAAATATTTTGAATCCAGAATGAGTAGAATAGTAAAATGACTCGCATCGGATATTTCAAAATAAATCCAGTTGGATGTAGTACTGTGTCCACCCCAGACATGTAAAATGTATGGGCTGGGCTACTGGTGGGACAGACCATGTTGGGGCAAAGCTAGCAGGAGGCGGGATCTGCCACAGAATTTGGGACCCTGCTGGACATAGCTGTTGGTAGTGGAGGGGGAGCAATGGGGGGACTGACACGGCCCCATTCACTCTGCAGCTGCTTGGTGTGTAGCTGCTTCCCCACCACCAATGCTAGTCCTACTGCCTCAGCCGCTGCTTGCCCAATGGCCTGGATTTAGCCTGCAAGAGCCCTGATATAGCTTGAGGTAAGGTGAGCTTGATGCCTCTGCTGTAGCCAGATACTTCATTCACATTAGAGTAGCCAGACATTTATTTGCTAGATGCACATTGCAGTTACCTACTGGAAGCACTGATATCTTCAGAGAATACAGTTGTGTTGCTGTGTGCACAGGTTTGAAAAGAAATGAAGGCAGCATGACAGAATGATGCAGTTTGTGCCATGATGAAGATCTGTCATCACTTAAGGAGAAGGCAGGGTAGATTTGCATTAGGGCTGTGCGAAGCTTTAGGTGCTGATTCAATTTGGAAGAGATTCGGCCTGATTCGGTGGCTGAATCTCCAAATCTAAATTGAAATGGAACCAATTAAAAGGTCCGAATCGATTTGGAGAGTTTTGATGATTTGGACGGTCCCTGCCCACTGCAGAAAGGAACTGGAGCTGGACTCAGAGCTGGTAAGTAGGGGCAGGGGAGAGGGGGCTGGAGATGGGGGGAGGCGACCATGAGGGGGGACCCCCGCCTGCTCCTCCAACCCCACCATGCCTGCCCTGCCTGCCCCAGCTCCCAGCACTTTGGGGAAAACAAAGTCCCGACTCACCGGGTGCTGCCAGGTGGGGGGCGATCCCCACTGGCCACCAGCTGCATGGGGGCTCTGCACAAGCCCCCTGCTGTCCCAGCCTCCCCACAGCTGCCCTGCCTGCCCCAGCTCTAGCCCTTTAAGGAAAAAAAAATGAGAAAACCCGTGGGACTCACTAGCTCCCGCAGCAGCCTCGGGGCTTCAGGGGACTCGTGCAGAGGCCCCCTGTCCCCCACCCTGCCTGGTAGCACCTGCTGAGTTGGGGCTTTTTTTTTCCAAAGAGTGGGAGCTGGGGCAGGCGGGTCAGCCATTGCTGGGCTGGAGAGCGGGTTGGGGGATGGGCCTGGGTGATTTGGAGATTCAGCCAAATCGATTCGGGACAATGATTCAAATCACCTAATCAAATCACTGCCCCCTGAATCAGCCGAATCCAAAATAAATACTAGCCGCTTCACACAGGCCTAATTTGCAACTTACAGACTATCTAAAACAGATGTACAGCATGAGCTTTCATGAGCCTGAGCTCACTTCGCCAGGTGCTGTGAAAGGACACGCACAAAGTAGTGTCAAATAGAGTAGTTTGAATACAAAAGACAGGAGAGGGAGGAGGGGGCAGTGCTGGGAGAGGTAAACAATTTATAAACCCATAGGGTCAAAGGGGTCAAAAAAACTAATCCAGGTAATGGAATAATAATCTGTAGTCCCTCTTTAGAGCACACTTAACACAATTCAGTATGTGGACAATTTCTTGTTCCACAATTTCTCTTTCAACTTGTTTTTTAAGGTTTAGTTGTCTTAAGAACAGCGACCCTGAGGTCAGTGCTGGAATGGCCAGGGAGGTTAGTGTTCTGCCACAGGCTTGTGTGTCTTTCTGGAACTGATGTCAGAGCAGTGTTCATTCATTCTTACATGTAGGGCTTGCCCTGGCTGTTCAAGGTAGACAGCACTGTAAATAGATGATGGCATATTTGACATTGGTAGAGGTGCAGGTGAATGAACCTCAGGTGTTTATAACCTGTGTTATTTGGTCTAGTGAAGATGTAGTCTGTGGTGATGAAGGGGCACAGCTTGCATTTGGATCCGTTGCAAGGCCTAGTGCCTTAAGTGACTTCTTGCTTGAGAAACACTGTTTGAGATTAGGGGACTGTTTGTAAACTAGGACAGGTCT